GGGTCACTATTGAACACGTATTTGGGCCGTGACAGGCAGGAGTGAACTTGTCAAAAGTCACCCCTCTGAGACCCTTAGCAACTCTGTTCTAAACTACAGTCTACGGAAACTGGGCTGAAATTGCCTAGATTGAGTATCCTGCATCCCTGCAAATTTGAAGGCCTGGTTTTCCAGGCAGAAACCATCCTTACCCAGGGTAACCGCAGTTTCTTCTTTCTCTATTAGTTGACTTTCTCTGTTGCTAGGTGAATTTGATTTCATTTCTTCTACCCTTTGTTACATTCTTAAGAATGGAAATACATTGTTATTGTAAAATAAATCCCCTGCATCTCATCCTGCAGGTACAACCTTGACCAATAGTTTGGTTATGTGGTATGTCTTACAATGAAAATGAGGTTGTTTTGCACACTGTTGGGAAGTCTGCCTTCTCACTTCACATTACATTGTGGATTTTTTTTTTTTTTTAAGATTTTATTTATTTGCCTATTTCCCTAGAGAGGGAACACAAGCAGGGGGAGTGGGAGAGGGAGACGCAGGCTGTCCGCTGAGCAGGGAGCCTGATGCGGGACTCCATCCCAGGACCCTGAAATGACCTGAGCTGAAGGCAGATGCTTAACGATTGAGCTACCCAGGAACCCCCATGTGGATTCTTAAAAACCCTGTTGAGTACGTGTACCTTGTGTCATTTAAGTGCTGCATAGTGTACTGCTGTATGGTTGTACCACAGTCTAGCCTGTCTCCTATTGATAGTTTAGCTCATTCCAAACTTGTTTCATCATACATAAGGTTCTTATAAATACCTTGGTACTGTAGCCATGTGCATGTTCCACTCATTTCCTGAGGGTAAGCTCTGAGAAGCAGAATTTCTGTGTCAAAGAGTATATTGGATTTATATTTGAATATATTTTACTTAATCACAATCTATGATTACTGATTTACTCTCCCACCAGCAATGGGAAAGGATGCCTATTTCATCATCCACTTAACACAGATTTTTCAGTCTTTTAAAATGTTTGCCAAACAAAACAAAAAATATTTGCCAGTCTTGGGGCTTCTGGGTGGCTCATTCGGTTAAAACCATCTGCATTCAGCTCAGGACATGATATCAGGGTCCTGGGATTGATCCCCACATCAGGCTCCCTGCTCAGCAAGGAGCCTGGTTCTCCCTCTCTCTGCCGCTCCCCCCTGCTTGTGCTCTCCTGCTCTCTCTCTCTGTCAAATAAATAAATGCAATCTTTAAATGTTTGCCAGTCTGATAGGCAAATGTGCCTCTGTGTTTAATTTGCATTCCTTTGAGTCTAAGTAAGATTGAGAATTTATTGGTCATATGAGTTCTTTTGAGAAATGCCTGAGTCCTTGATCCATTGCAGTTAGTATGTTTCAGGTTTTTTCTTTCTTTCTTTTTTTTTTTAAAAGATTTTATTTATTTATTTGACAGAGAGAGAGAAAGAGATCGCAAGTAGGCAGAAAGGCAGGCAGAGAGAGGGAGAACCAGGCTTCTCGTTGAGCAGAGAGCCCGATGTGGGGCTCAATCCCAGGACCCTGAGATCATGACCTGAGCCGAAGAAAGAGGCTCAACCCACTGAGCCACCCAGGTGCCCCGTCAGGTTTTTTCATAGTCAAGATATTAACCCTTAATCATGTACTGCAGTTCTCTTCCTCACCCTTTTCTTTTTGTCTTTCTCTTACAGATTTTCCACTTTTTATGTAATCATATCTGTTCATCTTTTCCTTAGTGTGTGTCCAACTTCAGTGGTCTGTCAGTTTTGCTTTCCCCCAGAGACCCTTAAGATGAGAATTCTAATACAGGTAGTTTTTTAGTGGTGTAAGAAACAAAGGTAGAGGTGGGAAAGAAGACAGGGTAGGAAAGACTGTCAGTAAAGGATGCCTTTTATGAAGTGCTCCCACAGTGAAAGTTGCCAAAGGGAACTCTGGGGAATTGAGTAAAGCGCTTGCCTCAGAATTGTCCCACTCCACATCAGCTATTGGTTGAGGGTTATTCCTGGGGAGTGTTCACAGAACAACCTAAAAACTACGTGGTGTAAAACAGCAGCCACCATTTATCATAAACCTCTGGTATATCTAGGGGCTGGCTGGGGCGACTGGAACTATCTGAAGGCTTCTTTACTCACAAGTCTGCTACTTGGGCCAAGAAGACTCAAATGGCTAAGGGCTGGAACACCTGGAGCTTCTCATTCATCCCTCATATTTGGTCTTTCCATATGGTCTCTCCAGTAGGTAGGCTTTGGGGTAGTCACACTTCTTACATGGACTTTAGGGTTTCCAAGTTGCAGAGAGAGGGGGAAGGGCAGAGAGATCAACAACTTCTAGTTCCTGTTTAAAACTTTTCGTTTTGTTTTTAATTGTTGCCTAGTTATGCTGATATTAAAGTAATGTGCCTAGCCATTCTCAAACCTTTATTATTTTAGGACCCCATTATACACTCTTAAAAATTAGGGGCCCCAAAGTGCTTTTGTTTATATGGTTAATTATTATGGATTTTACTGTATTCAAGATTAAAGCTGAAACATTAAAAATATCATTCATGGGGCACCTGGGTGGCTCAGTGGGTTAAAGCCTCTGCCTTCGGCTCAGGTCATGATCCCAGTATCCTGGGATCGAGCCCCACATCAGGCTCTCTGCTCTGCGGGGAGACTGCTTCCTCCTCTCTCTCTCTCTGCCTGCCTCTCTGCCTACTTGTGATCTCTGTCAAATAAAAAAAAAAAAATCATTCATTTTAAAATAACAAAAACATGTTAACATTTTTAATGAAAATAATGTTTTCCAAAGCTAAAACACTTAGAAGAGTGGCACTGTTTAACATATGCAAATTGCTTTAATGTCTGAAGACAGCTGGATTTTTTATCTGCTTCTGCATTCATTCTGTTGTCCTATCACACCTTATGTAGTCTCAGGAAAACTTCACAGTACAAATATGAGAGGAGGAAAGTTAAAAAGGCAAATACTGTTTAGAATTGTGAAAATAGTTTTGACCTGGGAGCTTGCTAAAAGGGTCTTGGGAGAAGTGCCCATCTAGCCTTTCCCAGATGTGAATGTCAGCTTTAGCTCCAAGCATCTTTATCCTCCAAATCCACATGAGTTCTGTACTGAGGGAAGTTGTAGGGATCTGGACTTAGGATGAGAGACACCTGCCTCAGGTGTTTGCCCAAATCCCTGGAAGGAGGATGCCCCTTGAGGATGAAGAATTCTTAAAATTGCTACAGTTAAGAGACTGACAGGGCAGTTCCAGCTGACTAGGTGGTGTAGGAGGATGTTCTGAGACGCCCTTGTCTCACTTTTAAGAGCAAAAAGGGGCAGTAAAAGGTTAAAATTATTATTAAAAAAAAAAAAAAAAGGCTTTACCAAACAAGAGTTCAGATCACGTGATAAATGCCCCCCCCCCCCCAATCACTGCAGCAAGATGGCGCAGGCAGTTTTCTCTTCAATGACAAGATGTTGAACCTGCTCCTTGTGCATTTACACTGTTACTTTGCACATTTCCCTCTGACTGTGCCACCACCCGAGTGCCTCACCTGCAGTGTGAGATTGGCAGCATATGCATTGTGGAGGCTGTGCAGTTGTGTGTGAGTGAATGAGAAACTGAACTGTGGTCATTTCCTAATCAAAAAATACACTGTAGAATCTTAGAATTGAGTTAAACCTGGTAAGTTCCTTTTTGAGAATTTTTGTATCCTTTGAGTAGCTTTCCTTGCAGCACTGTTGCTTTTGAGGACCTGCATTAAATGTGTGGAAGGTACAAGTGTTAACAACTGTACTATATCCCCTACAAAAGTCTAAACAAGAGATTCTGCTTTCCTCTCACTTAGCCTTAGTACAGTTACCATCCCAGTAGAAGAGCTGGTTTTGCTTTTATAGGCCTTGTGAACTGATTACTGTAAGAACCAGAGGATTAATAATTGATTTCTACTTACTCAGATAGCAGTGTTACATATGCTAATATAAGCAATGCAACTAAAAAATCAGGACTCAAACCACTTGACTGTAAAGTGCGGATATCCTCTTCTGGACAGTAGAGGAGGAATAGCTTTAGAACTTGATTCTGTTCTGGCCCTGTTTTTCTTTTTTCTTTCCTTTTTTTTTTTTTTTTAAGATTTTATTTATTTATTTGACAGAGATCACAAGTAGGCAAAGAGGCAGGCAGAGAGAGAGAGGAGGAAGCAGGCTCCCTGCTGAGCAGAGAGCCCGATGTGGGGCTCCATCCCAGGACCCTGGGACCATGACCTGAGCAGAAAGCAGAGGCTTTAACCCACTGAGCCACCCAGGCGCCCCTGGCCCTGTTTTTCTAACTTCTCTGGGGAAAGAGCAAATTAGAATTGTTCTTAAGCTTGTGTAGTTCTGCAGAAAAGAGCTATTGTCTGATCCACCTTTGTCCTGACCACCTATGTATTTAACCTTGTATAGAAAAAAAAAATGGCTTTTGAGACACAAGAAGTGCCAATCTCTTATTTAATTCTCTTTAATCATTCCTATGTGCCATTCTCTACCCTTCCCCACCCCAATTCCTTTTAGGCCCTTGACATCTGACTAGTTTGAATTTCACTTGCTTGGTACCTTTAACCTCTGCTTTGTATATCAGCAGTCCAAAAGTTAAAGCATGATTTTTATTTTAATTTTTCTTAAGATTTTATTTGAGAGAGAACAGCACGATCAGGGGGAGAGGGAGAAGCAAATTCCCTACTGAGCAGGGAGCCGCATGTGGGACTCAATCCTGGGACCCTGGGATCATGACCTGAGCTGAAGGCAGACACTTCACTAACTGAGCCACCCAGGCTCCCCTAAAGTGTGATTTTTAGTTCCGTTTACTAAACACTGTCATTATTCAGCCATCCCTCCCTGACAGTAAGGACCCACTGATGTCCACAGTGTTGTAGATCTGCTTGTTTCACTATCCCTACTGTTGTCTCTTTCAAATTATTATGAAACGAGTTTTCTTTTTAAAATTGTGTCCTTACTCGTGCATCTGATTTTCTTTCTTCAAGACTGGAGTGTAGATTTCCAGAAAGCCTGGATTGTTTTCTAAAGCAGCAACATATAAGGTAAAAACACAATTGAATGGCTAGCTGAGCAAAATTGAGCTCTTGTAGTGTTTTATTTCACCAAATTTGAAAATATTGTCATGTAATTCTGAACAGTGGTACGTATTTTGCCAGCTAATTAAATATTGCTAATTACTATTACACTAAGCCCTGTAGTATGTGTGGAAAATCACTATTCTCTAGAGACTTAAAATCTGATCTACGAGAGATTGTATAGCCACATAGCTGTAGCAGTGCATGTAAATACCTGCCAATCTTTCCACTTTCCAGTTTGGAACAGACATCAGAAATGAACTCTACAGCTTTTAGAGGCCTAAAATCAGATTGAAAAGTTGTATCAAATTCCTTTGAAGGTTTATCCCTTTTTGCTGGGAGAAAGGCACCATTTCCTCAAAGTCGATATGACACGATTTGGGGGGCCTCCATGGGAACACCATTCTTAGTGGACATGGATCATCTTGTTCTAGATCTTAAGTGTCTTGAGTCTGTTTTCCTCCCATGTGTAGGAAACTGTAATCCCCTATTTGGGCCCACGTTGTTCCAGAGCAACTGCTTAGATATACTGGATACTATTGATGTGAATTCTTACATAGGAGTCCTTTAGGTTGGCCTTTAAACTGTAATTCTTCCCAGGGAATGGTAACCTGGATGTACATCCCCTGCAGTACCACTTTGTAGGAGGCCTCTCTTAGTTATCAGTAAGTGACCGACCCACTTTATATCACCCCACCAAACCGTGTCACTAGTGTGTTAATAGTCCCCTTACTGAGGTTTTCTGATTTTTCGAGTTCCTTCTGCCACTCACTTCTAGGTTACAGATAGCAACTGTTTTATGGAGGGATGAGAACAAGAAGCTTTTTTTCATTTTTTATAAAATTCCTCTGCATGTGCTATATAGATGTCATGGAGAAGGCAGCTTTCATTCCCTGGAGAGTAGTAGGTCTACTGGGACATAATTGTGGGCGATGAGGATTCCCTCTGGTAGATTGCTGCATTCATACTATTCTGTCATATTCACTTTTAATTTCTTAGCAGAAGAGTAAATTAAGAATGGATTTTGAATAGTGGTTTGTCAGGAATATAGATTTGATTGTGGGTCTCTTCCTATAAGCATTTTCTAAGTTCTCTATATGGTACTTAGTAAGCATTACCACGGTTGATACTTGTTTCTTACTGCAGAGTATTACAGGTAGTGAAGGAAAGAGCTAGAGAATTTTTTTTTTAAGATTTTATTTATTTATTTGACAGAGATCACAAGTAGGCAGAGAGGCAGCGAGAGGGAGAAGCAGGCTCCCCGCTGAGCCTTGGAGTGCCCGATGTGGGGCTCCATCCCAGGACCATGACCTGAGCCGAAGGCAGAGGCTTTAACCCACTGAGCCACCCAGGTGCCCCAAGAGCTAGAGAATATAATTGGTAATTTAAACTTAGATCAAAAGGTAGAGTTGGCATTCATTTGCCACTTAATGTCCTCTGTAGCTAGAATCTCAAAATTTTAATGTGCAAATTCTGATGCATTAGGTGTGGGGTAGAGTCTAAATCTGCATTTCTAACAACATTCTAGAGGATGCTGATGTTGCTTTGTCCCCAGGGACTACATTTTGAGTTATCAGGGGTCTACGGAATGTTTAGGGCATATGCAAATCTAACTTTTAAAAACAACCCTGGATATTGACACCCCCCCCCCCCCCGCCCCGTACCACACAGCAGTTAAACAGAAAAGAGGATGGGCACTAGAGCCTGACAATTGATTCAAACTGTGAAGCTCTTAGCTTATTAGGGCTACCTTGAGCACATTTCTCTAAGCAGGATTCTCAGCCTTGGCACTATTGACGTTTTGAGTTGAGAGAATTTTTTTAAAAGATTTATTATTTGACAGAGAACGCACAAGCAGGGGGAGAAGCGGGCTCCTCGCGGAGCAGGAAGCCTGATGTGGGGCCTGATCCCAGGACCCTGGGATCACTATGTGAACCAAAGGCAGACCTGACCCAGGCGCCCCTTGAGAGAATTCTTTGTCGTGGGGGCTATCTGGTGCCTGGTACATTGGAGAATGTTTAGCAGCACCTCTGGCTGTCACCCATTAGGTGACAGTAGCACACTCCCTCCTAGCTGTGACATCCCAAAATAATCTCCAGACATTGCCAAATATCACCTGGAGGCCAAAACCATCCTCTACTGAGAACGACTGATTTGAGGCAGTGAGAATGTGGGAGTTTGGAGGATTTTATGACCGAATACATTTTGTATAAGCAACTGGTTTGAGAGGTTACTTGGGATTTTTAGGTGGGTAGAAAGAACTTCTAACTCAGTTGATCATGAGTCTCTATCTACCCTTTTTTGAAATATGCCGGCACATTTGCTAACTTGCTCCATTTTTCACTTACTTTGTGCTGTTGCTATCCAAATACTTGTCTTTAGCATGTTCCTTATCTTTTCATCTTCCAAGCCTTTACCCTCAACTTTTTTTTTCTAAGAAACGAGACCACATAACTAAGCTTTTTAGAATTATGCCAAAATAATATCTGAGTTAGGGTTTCTTTGTTTGTATGCAGGGGTCATCTCTCCCAATAAAAATCTTAAAAATTGATCAGATAGAAATATAATCTTTAAAAACACTGATTATAATTTCACCTTACTTCCAGGATATTCTTTAAAAACTGAAATGCATCTTCGGTTGCTGTTGAAATGGAAGAACAGTAGTCTATAGTAAGTTAGTATTGAGGATGGGAATGGGGGAGGACTTAAAAAAACAACAACATGATTTTAAAACAAATTAAAGCTTAAACATTAGCTTATATGATCATCTTAGAAATTTTCAGATCAATCCAGAGAGCACATCAAATTTTGGAAGACTGCTCTAATGACCTTTTTTCTAATTGGTTTTATTTCTTAGGATTATACCTTAAATGACTTGTGTTGATAACATTTTATACTATTCAAATGCTATTACTAATATAGTATTAATAAGGCATAAGAAGTATGACATGTAGCCACCTTGTCCCGAGGTTACTAGAGGAAACATGGGTTTCAAGCATTAAGGGAAAGGCTGGTGGAGGTTAAGAGTCCTTGTCATTGAGTTTGTTGCTGATCAGTCAGTAGGCAGATGTCCCTTCAGAAGATGGTTGTGGTTCATGACAATTCCTGCTGCTAATGTTAATGTATCTCTCTGAAGTCAGAAACCATTACAGAAGTAAGAAAATACTGAGTCAAAAATAGGAATGAGTTTTTTCTTTTTTCTTTTTTCTTTTTTTTAAAGTAAACTTTACACCCAGTGTGGAACTTGAACTCAAAACCCCAAGATCAAGTGTCGCATGCTCTACCAGCTGAGCCAGCCAGGTGCCCTTGACTATTATTTTTCTTAAAATGTTTGCCACAGTTCTATTTATTTCAGAAGGAAAAAGACTGAATCAAGGGCAATATTTTTTCTTTTGCCTTGTGTAAGAGTTCTGTGTATTATACGTTTATTTTGAAAGGTGTTTTTGTTATGAATAAACTAATTCTCTAACAAAATGTGAAAGGCCAAATGCATGGTCTCCTTCCACCTTCTCAGTCTCAGCCTCATGCCAAGATTCTAATTACAGTTAATGTTGCAACATCTTCAAACGGGGACTTTTTTTTTTTTTGGTTCTCATATTCTCTTAAACACCCCCATCTCCCATACTTTATAATCATTTTAGTAATTACTAATTTAGATCACATGCTATTCTAAAGTACACTTCCTTAAATGTTTCAAACTTAAGTTGTATTATTGTGAAACTAAGGTATCTTAAAGGGTGGGGACACAGAAGGTTGGTAAAGAAATATGCTGACCTGTGGGTAAACCTAGTTAGTCATTTTATAGAGAAGAGGGTGGGGTGCTGGAACAGACCTTTCCCTGTAGTGTCCCATGTAAAGATTCTCTTGTTCCTCATTCACCTTCACAGTAGCCTTCTGAAAGTTGTAAACTTGTGCCCTCACCACTCCCCGCATAGGTCTCTTTACCCACCTTCTAGACCAGTAGATCCTAACTTGTACAGTGACAACCTGGAAGGGGAAAAAAAAGGGGGCAGCAGATTTGCAGGGCCATAATTTTTGTTTCATTCTATGATTAATAAAATGCATATGACAAAAAGTTATATGAATTTCTCCAGTAACAGCTTTAAGGTGAGTAAAATTTTTCATCAAGCAGCAATGCTTTGTCCTTCCAGTAGGTTCTCATCCTTCCTTGTAACTCCCAAGTGCCCTGGCTGAGGACCTGTAGATTAGGGATCCATGCTGTTTAGTTTCTTCCAGGGCTCCTGTTGCATGCTTTAGGATTTCAACTACATTTCATATTATTTCATTTAGTATTATTTTTCTTAATATAGCCCACTTTTATTAACAGTTTTCAAAGTTTAACGAAGCATGTTACTTTTTAAATTATAGTTATGTTTATATTGTATACTTGATTCCTTAATGCCCTGTCTTTTTCTGAACTTTCAGAAAAGTTTATACCCCAGACTGAAAGCTGATTACACACAAGTAGCCACCTTGATTTGAATATCTACTTGTATCATAGGTGATAAAGCTGTAACGTTAAAACTTATGTTCTAAACTGATTGTCTTTCAGTAACTTGTACCAGTGATTCCCAGAAGCAACAAATACCTGTTTAAAGATCACCATAGATTCTTAAGTCCCTTCCGAATATTCTAAATTCAGTAGGCCTAGGATGAGGGGTCTCAACCTCTCACTTGAAAATTATATAGGTGATGTTGAGGAACAATGAAGTTTGGAAATTACAGTTTTCCATACAATCCATAAAAGCTGCATATAGTGCTATATTGTTAAACCTTTGTTCTTTTTTCTGTACCGAGGGGCCATCAGAATCGGGCCCATGTCAACATGTCACCTCTAGGGTTAGACTGACTTTATTGTTATTTTTTTTTTTCTGGGTCTCTTTCTTAGCATTACTAAGCTGACTATGAGGTAAACTGTATGGAATGCTGCCATTAGTGGGTTTTAGATGGCCTACCTTCTCCTTCAGGCCTTGGTTCCTCGTCTGTAAAAAGAGGTTTACAGCAGATGATTGTCTTTGCCTTTTAGCCTTTAAACCTTAGATACCATGAACTAGATGAACCAGATTAAATAGGATAGTTCATCTGTTATCTGCAACCTCTGTATCAGTGGTGTCTTTACCTCATTAGTCCACTTTTCAGTTAATTCTAGTCTGGTAAACAGGTGTCCCAGCTGGTAATGGCCAGTGTATATAGACTTTTTGCCCAGAAACATACGCTGGATGCAAACACGTAGGCAGACCAGATAACCAAAGACCAGTTCTAACCTCAGGGTTTGAAGCTGTATCAGGAGAGTATCCTTTCACTAGAGGTTACATGTTCCTAGAAGTAGAAAACTGATTAAAAGTTCTCCCTACATCCCACTTTGTCCAGTCTAAAACAAGTCTTTTAATAGTTCTGAAGAATACCAATCACAAAGGATATTAAAGGACCATACTATTTGAATCAGTAGAATAATTCATAACTGTTATGAATTATCACTACCATTTAATGAGAAACTGCTGAGTCTCTTTTTCTACGGAGATGCCACCCCCCATTTTAATTATCAAAACATTCCTGAGAATTTATGATTTAGGTTTAGTGACTTGCTCAGGGTCACATAGCTAATAAGTGCTCAAGTCATTGTCCAAGCTCTCTGCCTCTTGGCCAGTTTGGCTCTACTCTTCCCATTAGCTCATGTTCTTTTTTATCTATATTTTTCTCCCTCCTTTTTTGCCACATTATGTTTTCCCTAGCTTTTGTTTTCTTTCTGGTTTTCTTTTGTAAGCTCATTCTGAAAGAAAAATCTGTAGTGGGTTTGTGGAAAGTGTAGGGCCCAGGCAGGTCCCCGCCTCCCTTCCCTTCCTCTAACCTTTCTCTTAAATGAAGGAATTGAACCTCATCTCTAATCAGCAGAGGGCATCTTGAAGACAAGGAGTTTTTGTCTTGTTCATTATTGAAATCTCTGCCATTTAACTTCGTGTACATGTGCATTCAAGAGTGAATGGACCCAGTTCATACCATCCATTCATTTAAAATAGCAGTTTGCCTGCTCTGTAGAAATTGTCCTGTGTATTGACTGGGATATACAAGTCTCTCCAAGTAAAGACCTTCCTGCTGACACACCTCATTATTTTTGAAGCAACTATTAGTAGCTAGGTTTGAGAAATCTGAGCTAAAACGTGTAAGTTAACCACTTTAGTACTGTCATGTCCATGCTGTGGGAAGTATCTAAAACCATTTCCCAAATGTGTCTTTTCCTCTCTCCTTAATACGAGAGTCCTACCCACACTTGTTTTTATTCTTGTACTTGGATACAGAGCAGAGCACTCTACAAGCCAACACAGTGCTTCGGAAGGGTATTACGGTATAACTAAATATAAATAACAGTGATTTAACAGGGAAAGGGATAAAGAAACATACCCACTCTAATATTTAGAGAACCTGATTATAGAATTGTATATATTGAAAGGCAAATTGAATAACTTGTCATTGGATACTCTGTCATCCTTGTGCTCCTCCCACCCGACGTGGTTTATAATGTAAAAAGTACTAAAATCCATTGGACTCCTTTTAGGATAAGATTATGGGAGTAGAAGAGCAAGGAACAAGAACCCCAGTCAGTAGGTCAAAAATGAAACTTTATGCTTAAAATGGTCATCAGAAACGAATAGCTGTGAGCAGAAACCACTGAATATTGCTTACGTTTTCTTATGATGTATCCAGGAGAGGTTTGAGAATTGAAGAATTTCTTGCTTATTCACAGCTTAAATAGGCTTAGAATAGTTTAAACATTCTTTATCATTCAGTTGACTTGACCTAAGGCTGATGGGTTTGTTGCAGTCCAGAATCAGATTGTGTCTGAAAGACACTTCTATTTTATGGAGAGGATCCCCACATTAAATAAAAAGGAAGAGAAGAGGTTATCTTTTTTCCTTTTTTGAATACGCTATAAAAACTTGGATAGTGCCACCACCTGCTTACCTTTTGATGTATTACTTCACAGTGCTGGTCCCAAAGGTGATAACATCTATGAATGGAGATCCACCATTCTGGGACCTCCAGGATCCGTGTATGAGGGTGGCGTATTCTTCCTTGATATCACTTTTACACCAGAGTACCCCTTCAAGCCTCCAAAGGTAAGAATGTCCCAATTTATAGTTAAATTTACATATTGCTATGAGAGACTATTGAAGGTTTTAAAATTGAGTTGTAATCACAAAAGGTAGATTTCTGTTATATCAACGAATCTCTAAGTACATTTGGATGGACACAAAACACTGCACCGGGGAGGGGGGCTTTGCCTCTTGCAGAGACCATAGTTCTAAAAGTATGTGCTTTGTTTTGATGGTGCTTAAAATTCTGCTATTTTTAGTGACACAGCAACCCAGAATCAATCCTGTATTTTCCACTTAGAGAGAAAAAGTTACTGAACAGTTAAAAATGGTTTCAAAATATCTATGCACTAAAATAATGAGAAAGTCAGAATCTCCTACCAAAGACTTGGATTCTGCTCCTTGTCATGTTTTGGTCTTGTTCAAATTCTCAACCTCCAGGCTTCAGTTTCCTAATCTAGGATAGTATCTCTTATGACATTCAATCTATGATTCTTATTTATACTAAGTGGAAATTTTTACTTTGGAATGATTCTGTGTGTCTCACAAAAAAAAGTTAGGAAACCAAAATAAAGTAACCCAGGCTCATATGGCTTGTGTTAATTTGTCTACTACTATGATCCTTACCCATTTCTGGCTCCTCATTTGTGGAGACTCCATTACAGTGATTCTGTGACCTAGGTAGACGGGATATCTGCGGGATCTAATGTAAAAATCAGAAAAAGCAGAAACAAATCTCATCTTTTTTTTATATATAGCCTTTATACCTAAGCATTTTGCTTTTTTTATGTACCCACTATGTTGTATCTGTTTGAATTCATTATGAAGTTTAAGGCCATGTAGTACCACCAGCTAACACAAGAGGTCAGCAAACAATTAGCTATTTCAAACTTGAAAAGTTAGGAAAATATTTAAAACTTTGAAACTGTTAGAATAACTGAAGTTATCTTGCTTTTTGTTGATGGATATTACTTTTGAAATGACAGAGTGTATCAATGAACATTCTAATCTCAGATTAAAGTCATTTAACCTATCTTACCAGCTTTAAACTCTGTATTCATCTTAAAATTTTAAATTTAAAAATTTTAAATTACAGCCACTCAACTGAAAAAGCAATTTAGTAAAAATTTCATTGTTTGCTGTTTAAATTTTAATACTGTCTTATTTTTTTAGGTTACATTTCGGACAAGAATCTATCACTGTAATATTAACAGTCAAGGAGTTATTTGCTTGGACATATTAAAAGATAATTGGAGTCCAGCACTAACCATTTCTAAAGTTCTCCTTTCTATCTGCTCCCTTCTTACAGACTGTAACCCTGGTAAGGTTAATATTTTTTTTTCTTCTTTCTCACCTGAAAAATACTTGTTTTGATAAAGTACAAGGACCTTCAAAAGAATAAAGTGTAGGGGCACCTGGATGGTGTAGTCAGTTGGGCATCTGACTCTTGGTTTTTAGCTTAGGCTGTGGGATCAGGCCATGTTTGGCCCTGAGCTCCGTGTGGGGTCTCTTTTAGGATTCTCTCTCCTTCTGCCCCTCCTGCTCATGCGCTCTCTCTCAAATGAATAAATAAATCTTTAAAACAAAGAAAACAAAAGCTAATCTTTTTTTCAAAGAGTTTTAATCAAGAGAAGTTCAATCTACTAGTTGAAAAAGGCAGCAACTTCTGTGCTCTAGAACAAGAAGTTTTAAAACTAAGACTGACATAAATTTGCCTTAGGGTTTTTACATTTTTCATACAATTCTCTTAAATCACATACTTCTAACTAAATGTTGAGTCATTGCCTAAGCTCTCCTGTGCCTTCTGGTTCACTGAGCACTTGTCCTAAAGCTGTTGTTCAATTTCGAAAGTGATAATTCTTTGCTTAATAGTTAGTGATTATCAGACTGATTGCAGGGGGTGGGGGAGGAAGCTTATTCTTTTTATTATTACAGATTCTCTTTAGGTTTTAGAGCAACACTATACTTGTTAAGGTCCAGGTTTTGACCTGGTAACCTGGCTTTTTCTAAGTAACTAGCATAGATGTAGTGTTCTAGTGCAATAGCCCAGAGGACTACAATATTCTACAAAGTCAGGTGAACACAGTTGGATTCCATGTTCATTGCAGCCTTGAACATTCCAGTTTTTATTGAACTTACCTAATAAGAGCAAAAACACCTCTAATTGGATGGTGTTTGCTGGGAGAAAAATAGAATGAACTAAGGAGATAAAGCCACACTAGTACTAAAGCCTGAGCATTCTGTTTTGCTGAGACGTTTCCCCCTTGCATATAGTGCCCGGGATGATGGAATGCTGTTTCAAACTGGTTTTTCACAATACTTTGCATACTTCTTCCCAAGCTGTCACTGATTTATTTGCTAAAATTTGAAACATTCTTTTCCTTTCTCCAAAGTAATCCACATTCTTTTCTTCCAGCTGACCCTTTGGTGGGAAGTATTGCCACTCAGTATATGACCAACAGAGCAGAACATGACAGAATGGCCAGACAGTGGACCAAGAGATACGCTACATAAATTGGGTTTTCACATTCTTACATTATTTGTCTGTCACAGAGAGAGCTGCTTATGATTTTGAAGGGGTGGGGGAGGGTGGGACTTGGTAAAGAGTAGGGTATTTCTATAACAGATATTATTCAGTCTTATTTCCTAAGATTTTGTTGTAACTTAAGGTATCTTGCTACAGTAGACAGACTTGGTAATAGCAACTTTTAAAACCGTCATTAGTTCTGCAATATTAGCTGAAATGTAGTACAGAGAATAGACATTGGGTTCAGTTGCTTGTAGTCTGTAAATTTAAAATAGCTTAATTTTGTACAGGTTACACACATGGCCATTTATGTAAAATCCTTCAAGACTACACTTTTTTGTTGTTGTTCAAAAAAATTGGAACTTGTTTTCCTTTCTTGGGAGGGAACATTGATATTTAACAGTTTTTAGAGACTGTCATCTCATATATATAAAATGGATACGTGGCTATAAGACACCATATAGGAAATGAGTAGTTATGTATTTTATTTTATATGCCAATCTACTTTATTGTGACAAGATAAGAGGTTTGAATCACGACTTGTGAAAACCTGTAGTAAAATACCTTAAGCTGTTAACTGTAAGGTGTGAAATAGGAGTTGCTCAGTGGATTGGTTATATGTTGTGGACTACTTAAGTCTGCATTTGTTACTGTGCTAATAAACAATATTAAAACAACCACCTAACACTGCTGTATTCCTTCACTTTATTTTGCCTGTGTTTGTAGTTTGTAGATTCTTCTAAACTTGGTAAAGCTTTGCTACTACACAACCTACAAGTACTACACACTGAATAATGTGCAAGGACCTAGGTTAGGTTTGGTATGCTACTCTGTTTTTGAGGTGTCTTAGAAAAGGTCAGAGATGGATTCTCATAGCTAAATTAATACATGTGAGAGGGCGATTTGGCAGTACCTAAGTGTATATATATATCCAGCAATTCTGTTTCTTTGCGTGTACTCCAGAGAAACTTTTTAAAATCACTGTAAAAGTATTCATCTCTTTAAAAATAATAGGAAAGAAACCAAGATCAACCTCAGGTAATGACTTAACCATTATCTGAATAGATTTTTTGGGTCCCCGCCCCCCCAATTGTGATGAGGAGGTTTAGCCAATTAGAAGCAACACTGGCTGATTTACAAGTTTTATATTTTGCAGTTCTTGGTTTCAACTCTCACAGAAATGAACCAACTAAATCCACTGTACCTAGCCTTAAAAGTATTCCACTTAAATACGGGATGAGACTCTTAATCTTGGGGTCCTGACTTTGAGCCCCATTGGTAGAGTTTACTTAAAAAAAAAAAAAAAGTTACAGTGTACTAGTTTTTTTTAACATATCTTTTTGTTGAACAGCTTATTTCATATTTTACATATAAATCAAATAGCTAAGGGAGCTATTTGACGGAGCCTGGGTAGCTCAGTTGGTTAAGCATCCGACTCTTGACTGTGGCCTCAGGTCTTGATCTCAGGGTTGTGAGACTGAGCCAGGAAACCTGCTTGATTCTTTTTCCCTCTCCCTCCTCTCCCTGCCCACACTTTTTTTTTTTAAAAAAAAAAAAAAAAAGGCTGCTTTGCCAGTTGGAATATTGCCAAAATCTTCAAAGAATACCACAGCACAAACTCCGGTATCTAACCTGAAGACTACCTTAAGTCCAGTATTTTTATGATACATTTTATTCCACATGACTGTGTATCCAGAAAACTACTGCAAAAGGCATAGTAATACTTGTGGAAAATGGAAGCTTTAGTGCCCTTAAGTGCTTAGCGGTTTTCTAAAGAAAGAGCAAACGCTTTGAACATATTTACACCACCTACTACCTCAAGTCATGCTAAACATATAATTTGAACAAAGTTAAATCACAGGTTTTGTTCTATTCAGCAGTGTTTCCATGAGATAAAATTTAGTTTAACAACTAAACTGTTTACTGGTTGTGATCTAAAAATGACATTAGATGATTAGTGAACTTCTTAAAAACAAGATTATATTTAAGCTAATAAGTTTGCATAAAGTTATACAGAAAAATGGGTTTTGCTACTGCTCACAGGTATATCTGCATACTACCCAAACTTTATTTTACTGTTTGGACAAGTGCAACAAAACTTTAAACAGCAAAGGTGCTAAGTTCAGGGACAAGTTTCAAACAATGACAATACAAATATATTATTTCGTATTAGGCAATAAACTTAGTCCAAATAATTTAATTATAACCTAGAGTGCATTAAATTACTTAAATTACTTCCTTAACGGTTTCCTAAGGACCAAAGTAGATGCAAATGGCCTGTTTTAAATATTAAATATGTTCACGGACACCTAAGGCAATCACTATTCAACAAATTATTTAGTTCTCCGAGTTAGAGTTCCCTTTGTTTTTCCTCCCAGGCAAAGGAAAGCTTGATTTGCTCTGGGGCTGGGTAAGTTTGCTGGCTAAGAGAGTGAATGGCTCAATCAGTGTTCTCCGATCTGTAACTGTTACCTCCCACAGGCGTACTTTCTCACTTCTTGCCCATTGCTGTGCCACCTCAGCATCCACTTGTCTCTGCTCGGAAAGGTCAATTTTGTTTCCTAATACGACAATTGCCACCTAAAAGGAAAAGAAAAAAGTTACACTTTGCCAACATCAGTTCCTAAGCAAAATAGAAAAGTCAAGAAAACTGTCCTGTTGAATAGAATTGCTGCTTCAAAACTGGTTGTCAGATATGACCTGAGTCAACTTAGTCGGATATTAACCTCATTCTTCCTGAATGCGTATTTGTTAAAAATTCAGATGCTCTACAGCTTCTTAACTAGGAAACAAGTCATCATTAAGTGAAGTTACTTAAGTCAGGTATGAATAGAAGCTAGACTTGGGGAAATTAATACCTAAGAAACAGACAACAGTTTCTGAAATGTATCCACATTTCAGTGTAGCTATACCTGCTGTTTGGGAAATCTGCAATACCTACTTCAAAAAAACAAAAAAGGACTGGGGCTATGACAGTTTACCCCTAGAACCTAAGTTCTATGAGAACAGGAACTGTTACTCCGTTCACATTATTCCTGATCACAAATAAGTGCCTCATGCAAGCGCTAAACGTGTCGAATTAGGGACCAATAGCAGTATTTTACACTAAATGTAAGGCAGTCAGTCCTTCCCTGAAGCTTGAATGCTTATTGTACACCATGCAGTTTCAGGCCACCAGAACACGGCAGTCACAAGGCAGTCAAAGCTCAGGAGGAGGGGAGGTCTGGAGGAGAGAGAATATCCAATTTTCAGGCCCTTGACTGTATAAAGAAGATAATAAAACAAGATCATGGAAAGTAGAAGAAGGGCAGTAAGAGTTGTTACAGAAGGCACCTCTGAGGAACAGCTTTGAACTAGGCCATACAAGCCACTGCTGTGTTCCTGCCTTAAGACAGCTCTCCGTGCTCCAGTTGGACCGTGCCTCCCAGGTAGGATGGAACAGCAGGCCCAGAGCTCTCGTTTTCTTGGCAAGTCTCGTATTCCTTCATTTCTCAACAGGATCTATCCCTTCAGGCCCTCCTGTCATTCTTCATCACTCATGTTTTCAGCTTTACATGTTATCTCCTATTCTGATCTCCCATCGCCCACCCTGACCTATCCAGTTGCAGAAACTGTTCCATGTTGCCCCTAGACTCAACAAAATCCCCTTCTGTCCCCATATCTGCTTTGAATATTCCCTTCACCTTTTTAGCTGAAACTGGCTCAGCTCTGTAGTACTTACCACCACAGTGAGCATGGATGGAAGGGGTAACCTTGTCCCTCAATGCCATCTCCAATAATGTCCTTCTCTAAGAACCCTAAAACTGAAGGCTGGTGCTATTAGTCTATACCACGTACTGCCTGTTTCCCACCCCCATCCTGCTGCTACTCATTAAAGACCTGGCTCATGGTCACCCCCACACTACTTTTATCCTAAGTCCTAGTGACTTCACTAACCACATGGATGACCCTTCCCAAATAGCCTTAACCTCTTCCTGACTTTGGCCATTTGCTCCCATGAACATACCCTACTCTTGCCATTATTATTGCTCCCTTCCGTGGTCCCAATTCCAGGAATCCCACTCCCACCTCTGCCTTCCTAGTCCATGCCTAACACCCTGACTACAACGATCCTCAACACCAGAAGGACCTACAACCCACTGGCTCACCCACCTTTATCACTGTCCTTCAATCTCTCTCCTGTCCTCAGTTCTCAGCCCAGTTTAGATTCTTTTAATTTATAACCTTGCCATCATCATCCCATTATATTCACCTGGTCAACACCTCCCCCAACCTTAAATTTAACTCTTAATTGGACTGACTTGGAAGTGAGCTGGTGTTTCCCCAGCAAATACTGTAACAGTTCCTGTCTTGGCCCTCTTCAACCTCCAACATCTCTTCTTTCCCCACGTTACTCTCTCAGCTGATGTCCGGACTATTTCAGTAGGAAAACAGAAGCAATTAGAACTTCCACCTGCATCCACCACCACATCTAACAACCTACCATCTTCTACCCCAGATAAGACTGTCACTCCGGCAATTATTCCCCTCCCCATCAATTTCCTCCTCTCTTTTGAATCATTCCGTGAGTATGCAAACACTAGCTCTTGTCTAAAAGAGTACTACTCTCTTTTACACATCCTTCTTCAGCTCCTGTTTCCCTTTAAAGGACAATATATTTACCCTTTGACTCAAAACTCTTTCAAAGAGCTATCTTTGCTGTGTCCAATCCTTATATCCAGTCCAATCAAACTTCATCTCACTGTTTTACTCTCATTATTTTAAAAACATCCCAAGTTTCTAGACTGGCCACGTGCTTGTCCTTAGCTTTCCTGACCTTTCTGCACCATGATGCAGTCTGATCTCTCTGCTTTTTAAAGTGGTTTCTCCTCAACTGGTAACTGTTTTAAGTGCTCCAGAGCAATAGCATTTCACAAAACTTGCTTCTCACCTTGTCCCCCAACTATGTTGTCTGTTGTCAACACAGCAGCCAAAATGAACATTTTAAAACAAGTCAAAAGATTTTAGCCTTATTCGTACTAAGGAAACTGAAACTACTAAAGTACCATTTTCACCCCGAAGATGCACAAAATCCACACACACACACACCGTTGTCAAGACTGGAGAACAGGTACTTTCATACCCTTGTTATGGTCAGTAATTTGAGAATATATCCTTTGATTCAAGAACCCCATTTTGGCTGATCTTACAACTATAAAACATACAAAATAATAAATGTAAGATTATTCATTGTAGCATAGTTCATAATAGCAAATGACTGTAAATAGCCCAAGTGTCCCATCAGTTTGGAACTGGTTAAATAAGTATGATACAGGGGCGCCTGGGTGGCTCAGTGGGTTAAAGCCTCTGCCTTCAGCCTCTGCCTTCAGCTCAGGTCATGATCCTGGGGTCCTGGGATCAAGCCCCGCGTCGGGCTCTCTGCTCAGCGGGGAGCCTGCTTCCCTTCCTCTCTCTCTGCCTGCCTCTCTGCCTACTTGTGATCTCTCTGTCAAATAAATAAATAAAATCTTAAAAAAAAAAAAAAAGTATGATACATCCATACAATGAATATGCATCAGTTTTTTTTTTTTTTTAAAGAAATCTGAATACTGCTATAGAAAGGACTCCCAAGATACATTACATGGAAAATATAAGGTGCAGAACACTGTCCTACCTTTGGTGTAAGAAAGTAGGGGTTGGGGAAAACTATATGTATATTCCTATTTGCTTGTATTTATAGAAAGCAATTTTGGAAGGCTGCTCCAGAACAAGCAAAGTGATAAAATACTTTAAAAGCATACTTGAGGTGCACCTGGCTGGCTCAGGTGGTGTAGCATAGGACTCTTGTTCTCAGGGTCATGAGTTCAAGTCCCACGTTGGGCACAGTGGGGCATTGGTGGTTCGGTGGTAGAATTCTCGCCTGCCATGTTGGGCACAGAGCTTACAATCAGTCAATCGATTGATAAATGAATAAAAAAATAAATGAATAGTATGCTTGAGATAAAGGAACTCAGTGGTTGAGGATAGGGGTGGGAACGAGACCTCACAATAGTCCTTTTTATATATCATTTTTATTTCTGAACCATGTGCAAACATTACCTATTCAATTTTTTAAAATTAAACATGAAAATAAATAAATGCAACCTAAGCTATTATGTCTTTCCTTTGCTCAAAACCAATGGCTTCTGATCCAAAGTGTGGCCCTCATCTCCTACCATCCTCCTCCTAGCCCAGTCTGGCCTCACTATTGTTCCTGAACATGACAAAGCAAACTTTCCGAGACCCTGGCGCCTGCTAGTCCCCCCACCTGGAGCCTCCACATTGGTCTGGCTCCCTCACTTTTTTCAAATCTTTGCTAGAAGTCACCTTATCAGGGAGGCCTTCCCAGATGGCCCCACAGAAAAACAGTACCCTTGCACCCTGCTCTACTCTTAATTTTTCTACATAGCATCTGACTCTTTGTGATACACATGTGTGTGTTGTCTGTTGTATTCCCTGCACTTTACCTAAAACAATGCCAGGCATATAGTAGTTGCTCAATATGCATTTGTTGGATGAATGTGCTTCTTAAAATCTCCGTAACAACCATATAAGAAAGGTACTATTATCCCCATTTTTTGATTAAGGAAACTGAGGCAGAAAGTTGAGAAGCAGACCCAAGATTCAAGTACCAAATGTGAGTGGTCAATAAATCACTCTTTCAACTTTTGGGGGGCAGGGAGGAGAATATGAAGGATACCCTAGAAAATAACAACAGCATTTATGTGTTTAGGTGGGGAAAATGGGAAATGGGTGGGAGGAGAGCATCTACCCGCTACCTGCCTCTATGTCTTTTAAAAACTGAACTTTGTGACTGTAATCTATTCACAAAGCAAATAAGTATTCAGAATAATAAAACAGCAACAACTCAGATGTCCTTCAACAAGTTAATGGTTAAATAAACTTTGGTACATAAATACCATGGAATATCATTCAGCAATAAAAAAGAATGAACTACCGATACATGTAATAACTTGGATGACCCTCCAGAGAATTATGCTGACCGAAAAATGCTGATACCAAAAGGTTACACACTATACGATTCCATTATGTTAACACTTCTGAAATGACAAGGTTACAGAAACGGAAAACAGATTAGTCAGGGATTAAGGGAACAGGATGGGAGGAAGGTGGTTATAGCAAAAAGTAACTGGAGGGACCCTTGCAATGATGGAACCGTTTTCTGTATCTTGACTATAAACATAAATATCTTGGTGGTAACATTATACTAGTTTTGTACAATGTTAGCACTGGTAGAACTGGGTAAGGGATCTCTATTATTTCTTTAAAATTGCATGTGAATCTACAATTATCTCAAAATAAGTAGTTTAACATAATAAAGAAAATATAAAAATCTAGGTTAAGAACATCTTAGCCAACGCTGTTAACCAATACATTATGTGGTTCCCTAGATGAAAGGGAGTCAGCCATGTGAAGATCTGGGGTAAGAGCTGCATTAAGAGTTCCAGGAAGGGAACCAGCAATTGACAAAGACTTAAGAGGGGAACAAAGTCATCACACTGAATAAAACAAGAAGTAGGGGCACCTGGGTGGCTCAGTGGGTTAAAGCCTCTGTCTTCGGCTCAGGTCATGATCTCAGGGTCCTGGGATCGAGCCCCACATCAGGTTCTCTCTGCTCAGTGGGGAGCCTGCTTCCCCCTCTCTCTCTGCCTGCCTCTCTACTTGTGATCTCTGTCAAATAAATAAATAAAATCTTTAAAAAAAACAAAAAATAAAACAAAACAAAAACAAGAAGTAGACCAGTGTCCCCAGAGTGCAGTGACAGAGGAACAAAATTATAAAAACAAGAGGAAAAGGATAGGTGCGGGCTGGATCATTTAAGGCTACAGATCACAGTAAGGAGCTTATTTCTAAGTAGTAAATGAGTATAATCCAATCATTTTATTTATATGTACTTATGTTTATATTTATTATTTTCTGCTAAGGCTGAAAACAATCCTGTTCAGGCAACGAGACAAAGAGCCCTAGGAAACAGTGATCCCAAACAATGTGAAGTGAACTATGTAGTATTTGAGACATAGTGTCATTAAAATTCAACTTGCACATGGCAACAAGCAAAAGCAGAAAGTCAAACGCCGGTCCTGACTGAATTCATTCAATCCTGTATTTCCTGGGCTAAGAAAAAATATAATGAAGATCATAGGTACATGAATACAATTTAATGCCTTTTAAATATTGTTACTGCCCAAAGTCCATGCTACAAGTTAAATATTACAATTCATAGTTAGCATTTTTAACAAACCCACTTACCTCCTTTTTGTCTTTAAACTTATCAATTTCTTTCTTCAGAAGTTCTACTCTTTGGAAGGATTCAAGGTTATTCACACTGTACACAAGAACAAAGCCATCAGCAAATGAAAAATAATGTTTTGGAAGCTCCACACCTTCCTGTAAGCCTCTGGTGTCATAAAGATGTAACTGTTCCTTTACTCCGCGATCTGTTTCCACTGAAGCCATATATACATCTTCCATTGTTTCACAATCTTCCATTCCTGGGATTAAAAAGAAATTATTCTCATATTGAACCATTATGGTGTACACCTGAAATTAATAAAGTGTTAACTCAATTAAACCTCAATAAAGAAAAAATATTATTCTTTTTGGATAATTCAGTACCAATTAGTATTTTCCTCTCCTTTAGAAGTTTGCTTTCTAGAGGTTTCCCTATTTACTACATGTAAGAATTGTATTTACTAAATTTCTTTAAAGTGAAATGTAGTTGTTACAGTAAGTGAACAAAGTGGCATTAAAATATATCTCGTCTGATTAGAAATAAAAGTAGAAATAAAAACTTGGCAATGAGACTTGGTAGTAGGTATTTTGAAAAAATAACTGTTAACGAAGTCAAAGAACTTAGTACCAAAATTGGAGAATTAAAGGCGGATTTTAAAAGCAGCTTCAACAACTAAGTACCTCCATTTTCTTCTCCATCAGAGCCAAGGACAGGACCTGTGGTAATTTTGCTGCCTTTATTCTATACAACTTCCAGGATTTCCAGAGTCTGTTTAAGGGACTCAAAAATTGGTATGTCATGTCTGGGCCTGAGCACCAGGCTTTAGTTCTCAAGTACCTACTGGGCATTTATATGTGAATGCCACTGTAACGTAAGGACTTCAAACTAACAAAACCTCTCTCTCCTCCCTGCACTTGTTCCTCCTCCTCGCTTTCTTCCCTTGATCGCCATCTCTCCCTGGCAGTCTTCAGAGTTCTCGCTGACCAAGAAGAGTGGATGAAAGTTATCAAAAATCAGCCACTCTGCTGCCGGAACACCTGTTTTATCTGTTGCCTCCTTCATTCCTGTTGGCTTGTTATATTCACCTGAACGACTGCAATAGCTCAGCAAACACCTGGGGAAAGACCTCCTTCCCAAACGTCACTGAAATGTGAACTCTACAGATCCTCTCCTGTCCCTTGTACCAGTAATACCACCTTACACTTCGATCTTTCCTTATCTGTCCCCTCAAAAACGGGACTGTCAACGCTGAGAGCCAACACTGGCTTATCTGTCTTTACAGCTCTGAGGACTAGCAAATTGACTTACATATCATACCTAGAAAGGCTTTAGTAAATGTTTGCTGAATGAATGAACGAACTCATCTCATAACTGACGTCCTAGTTTCTGTTCCCTTCTGGCCTGAGTGATCCTTTTAAAATGCATTTTTGTTTGTGGCATTTGTATGAGTTTTGTCTCTTCAACTAGTCCCACATCTTTGAGAGAAACAAACCATTCTGTGTACATAGCAAGTATCCAATAATCATTTGTTGATAAGGGAATTAAGGGGAGATTAACACTCTGAATTTTAATGAACAGTGAAGAGGCTTATAAGATAGGTATCTAGAGCCCTAGGAACCATCTTCCTATTTAAATATGAGCTATATCCAGAAATAAAATCATGTGAATAACATCATATGCCAATAAAACATACAGGTATATCCCAGAAATTTGCTGGTTCTGTTCCAGACCTCTGCAATAAAATGAGCATCACAATAAAATCAGTCTTGAATTTTTTGGTTTCCCAGTGCATGTAAAAGTTAGTTGACACTACTCTGTGAACCAGACTAATGCCATCTTAGACAAATCTGCCATGACCACTCTGTGATCTGAAGCCTTCCAGAGCACAGTCTTCCCTGCCCCATTCTGTTTTGCCACACCCTTAAGCACACCCTTGGCGCATAATGTCCTTGATCTGCTCTGGAGATTGGACTATGTTTCTCAAACATTCCTTCCCAGGTGGTCTCCCAGCCTGTCGTCCTCAGTCTTTGGGCGGTAAAAGCAGGTCTTATAGGAGGTGGAGTTGCAGAGATACACTTGCTTGCAGCTGCCCAAGAGGGACTTCTGTCCAGAAGCCCCTTTAAACCATTTTTTTGTCAAGTTGGACTTGCTGGCCTTTTTCTTCAGTCTTATGGCTCCTCTGGCCTTTGAATATCATTTTGCCTATTACTTCCCTTTCACAGAACAGTTGGTGAACCAGCCAGGAGGAGCCCAGAGACTGAAGAATGGGCAAAGGAATGAAGCCTCTTTTGGGGGAAACCCTGGAGTGGCTGACCACAGCAATGTGGGAAGGCACAGTCTGTCTGCTTGATGGCTATGGATTTCTGCATGAGTATGGGGACACTCTGAAAATGCCATATGGATTAGAGCTATTACAAAGTTGTATGATCCACTAGGGTAAGGAAGGCCACCAAGCAATGGTGGGTTGGCTGCTCCTATGGGCCCTTCAGGACGCCATCAATGCCTGGCTAGGGGCAGAAGTGAAATAAAGGAGCTGGAGAAAGAATTACAACTGGAGAAGGACAGGAGACCATCTACATCCCTCTTGGGTCCTAATTTGGTAGATACTATCTAAAACCAGGATGCACAAATTGAGACTTTAGTGTGTCTGTCTGTTGCTTTGTGTGCCCTGGAGGGCATAAAATGTGGCAACCTCGGATTACAGCCATCATTTGAAGCCAGTTTGGGATGCTAAACCATGGAACTCATGGGAAACGTCTTTGTATGCCAGGAAAGTAGGATGAGTTTTCAGTAGGAGAAGGTATGAAAAATGGAGATGCTTTTTTGTTGAGGAATAAAAAAATAATTTTGTCCTAAAGAGGATCTGGTGGTCTGAAGAGGAATAAAAAACAGGACAAAATCAGAATGGAGAAAGTTGTAGAAGGTCTGTGGAAAAGGAATATTTGGAAAGGAATTTTATGTGTGGCCAAGCTGGCTAAGATTAAAATGAATTTATATTAAAATGAGTTTTAATATCAAAAGTAAGTTGATGAAAAATTAGAATTTGGTTTTCTATCTGTTAAAAGGACATAAATATCTTCAGTGTCTTTTCCAAACCTAAGTGGAAAAAGCTTAAGCCATCTATACAGGTTACCTTACCTTATTCCATCTACCAAAAAAACAAATTTAGATGCAACATTTATGAGTGAGTTTTGTACCTACTTCATGGCAGTAATTTTAAAACAGAAGCTATAAAGTTTCTGTATCTGTATTTATGTGTGTCCATATGTATGTGTTATGTAGTATTTTCTACCTCTGGATGGTATTGCTAAAATTTGTATTAAAAGAAACATCTATTTAATTGGCTTAAAGAAAATTAAGCATTATATAATTTAAATTCTCAAATATAATAAAAATTAACCCAAATGTTTTTTAAGTTCATGTGATCTAAGATAATTTTTCTTTAAGTTTTAAGTTTGTTGGTTTAATTAAAACAGGTATGTCTTTAGAGTTATCAACATCAAATATGATTCCAATAATCAAATTTACCAGTTAAGTTCATGTTCATCTATTACAATTTGTCAGCAAAAATGACTTAGAATGTTGGTTGATTTTGTCTAATGTCTCGTGAAATTTTCACAGGTCATCTAGACATAAATGTTAGTAACACACAGACTGAACAGATAAAAAGTTTTAGGCAAACTTTTTAATTAGCTTCCCAAATCTTCCTGGTGTCTTGGAACCTTAACGTTTTGCTAAGTGAAGAATGCTGGTATAACAGTTCACAATTGCTTACTTAGTTTTTACTAGAAATTACTGAGGGTTAAGAATTTTAAGTAATATATGTAATCAAAACTGTTAGAAATAAGGTTACTCTAAAACAAAGGTGCCATTAGGGTAGCCCAAAAGCAAATGTGGCATAAACTGCTGGCAGAGGGCATAAACAGAGAAAAGACAGACTGCCAACCAAATGCTGTTCTAGTGGCTTCAAGGAAGGAGTTTACTTCTGCTCAGCAATTTAGGCCACTGCCCTCTATCCACCCCTGGGAAAAAAACTAAGCCACAAGCCATTTCTTACCAGGGCTGCGTACCCCCTTGCGAGAGACCAGGGATGGGACCAAGGTTGCTTCATTGTAAGAGTAATAGGGGGCAACAGGAGGTCCCAAGTACAGTTCACAATTTACTGGACACCATAAAATAAGCAGAAAACCATGTCCTTAGTGGATACCAGAGCAGAATGTACCCTAATTCATGGCAATTCAGAATGGCATTCAGGGACCTGGGCAGCCACCAACACTTATGGAGGGAAAAGCCTGGGTGGCTCAGTCGGTTAAGCATCTGCCTTTGGCTCGGGTCTACGATCCCAGGGTCCTGGGATGGAGCCCCAAATTGGGCTCCTTGCTTAGCAGGGAATCTGCTTCTCCCTCTGCCTGGTGCTCCCCCTGCTTAATGCGCTCTTTCTCTCTCTCTCTCTCTCTCTGACAAATAAATAAAATCTTGGGATGCCTGGGTCACTCAGTTAAGTGTCTGCCTTCAGCTCAGGTCATAATCTCAGGGTCCTGGGATCAAGTCCCACATCAGGCTCCCTGCTTCTCTCTCTCTGCCTGCTGCTCCTCCTGCCTGCTTGTGTGCTCTCTCTGACAAGTAAATAAATAAAATTTTTAAAATAAATAAATAAAATCTTAAGAAAAGAAGAGCATAAGGGGAAAATGCACAACAGTGTGCTTGAGAATAAAAGCCCAACTTTAAGGAAAAACCCTTATGAGGTTTTCGTTTCTCCAATACTGAAGGATACATTAGTCATAGATATTCTTCCGGGAAAAATTACTACAAAGCTCTGTAGGAGAATTTCACATTTGATTTATAGTAACTAAAAGGATCTTTTTTTTTTTTGAAGATTTTATTTATTTGAGAGAGAGAGAGTGAGAGAGAGAGCATGAGAGGGGAGAAGGTTGGAGAAGCAGACTCCCCATGAAGATGAGAGCCCGATGCAGGACTCGATCCCAGGACTCCAGGATCATGACCCAAAGCAAAGGCAGTGGCTCAACTGACTGAGCCACCCAGGTGCCCCTAATTAAAACTATCTTAAGGGGAAATGCAAGTTGGGATCCCGTATTACCCTCTTCCCAGGTTATAAATTAAAGCAATACTGGTTGTTAGGAGGATTTGAGGAAATACCTGCCACTATATGGGAATTAGCAAGAGTACAAATGATCAGCCTGGCACAAATTCCCTATAATAGGGCTATATAGCCTGTGAAGAAACCAGATGGCACCTGGA